TCAATGAAACAAAGAGTTGGTTCTTTGAAAGGATAAACAAGATTGATGAACCTCTAGCCAGACTCACCAAGAAGCAAAGATAGAGGACTCAAATAAACAAAATCAGAAATGAAAGAGGCAAAATATCAACAGACCCCAAAGAAATTCCAGGAATTGTTAAAAAAAATACTATGAACAACTCTACTATAACAAACTAGACAACCGGGAGGAAATGGACATATTCCTAGAAAAATACAATCTTCCAAATCTCAATCTGGAAGATTTAAAAAATCTCAATAGGCCAATAACTATGGAAGAAATTGAAGCCATCAACAAAAAGCTCCCAGCAAACAAAAGCCCGGGGCCTGACAGCTTCACAGGGTAATTTTACCGAACATTCAAGGAAGAACTGAAACCTATCCTCCTCAGACTGTTCCAAAAAATTCAAGAAGAAGGAACACTTCCAAGCTCATTCTATGAAGCCAGCGTCGCCCTAATACCAAAACCAGATACAGACAACACAATGAAAGAGAATTATAGGCCAATATCCGTCATGAACATAGAAGCCAAAATACTCAACAAAATACTAGCAAATCAGATCCAGCAATACATCAGAGAGATCATACACCATGACCAAGTAGGATTTATCCCGCGATGCAAGGATGGTACAATATCTGAAAATCAATAAACGTGATACATCACATAAACAAATTGAGACATAAAAATCACATAGTCATATCAATTGATGCAGAAAAAAGCATTTAACAAAATTCAACCCCCTTTCTTGATAAAAACTCTCAGCAAGGTGAGAATAGAAGGATCATACCTCAACATAATAAAAGTCATATATGACAAACCCACAGCCAACATTATACTCAATGGGCCAAAACTAAAACAATTTCCCCTAAGAACAAGAACAAGTCAGAGATGCCCCCTCTCACCACTCCTGTTCAACATACTACTGGAAGTACTAGCCATTGCGATCAGACAAGAAGAAGAAATCAAAGGCATCCAAATTGGAAAAGAAGTAAAACTGTCCTTATTTGCAGATGACATGATACTGTACATACAGAACCCTAAAGACTACATCAAAAAAATTATTAGATTTAATAAATGAATTCAGCAATGTAGCAGGATACAAAATTAATGCCAAGAAATCTAAGGCATTTCTTTACACTAAGAGTGAACTTACAGAAAGAGAGACTAAAAAATCAATCCCATTTACCATCGCACCAAAAAAATTAAGATACCTAGGAATAAAAACTAAGGAGGTAAAAGACTTATATGCAAAAAACTACAGGACACTGAAAAAAGAGATAGAGGAAGACATAAACAGATGGAAGAACATACCGTGTTCATGGGTTGGTAGAATCAACATCATCAAAATGTCCATACTACCCAAACCAATCTATAGATTCAATGCAATCCCCAATATATTACCAATGGCATATTTCACAGATCTATAATGAACGTTTCAAAAATTTATCTGGAATAAACAAAAACCTTGAATAGCTGCAGCAATCCTGAGAAAGAAGAACAAAGTAGGTGGGATCTCAATAACAGATATCAAGCTGTATTACAAAGCCACTGTTCTTAAAACAGCTTGGTACTGGCACAAGAACAGACATACAGATCAATGGAATAGAATAGAGAACCCAAAAATCGACCCAAACCACTATGCCCAATTAATGTTCTACAAAGCAGGCAAGAGTATACAATGGAGTCAAGACAGTCTCTTCAATAAATGGTGTTGGGAAAATTGGACAAATGCATGTAAAAAGATGAAACTAGACCACCAACTCACACCATACACAAAAATAAACTCAAAATGGATAAAGGACTTAAACATAAGACAGGAAACCATAAAAATACTAGAGGAATGCACAGGTAGTGAAATCGCAAACATATGCCAAAGGAATTTCTTCTCTGATACTGCTCCTAAGGCAATGGAAACTAAAAAGAAAATAAACAAATGGAACTATTTCAAAATAAAAAGCTTTTGCACAGCAAAGGAAACCATCAACAAAACAACAAGAAAGCCCACTGCATGGGGGAACATATTTGCCAATGATATCACCAATAAGGGTTTAATCTCCAACATTTACAGGGAACTCATGCAACTTAACAAAAGGAAGATAAACAGTCCAATCAACAAATGGGCAACGGACCTAAATAGACACTTTTCTAAAGAGGACATACAGAAGGCCAAAAGACATATTATGACTTGCTCAAAGTCACTAATTATACAAGAGATGCAAATCAAAATGACAATTCAGTATCATCTCCTCCTGTCAGAATGGCTATCATCAACAAATCAACAAACACAAGTGTTGGAGAGGATGTGGAGAAAAAGGAACCCTTCTGCACTGCTGGTGGGAATGCAGACTGGTGCAGCCACTGTGGAGAAGAGTATGGAGTTTCCTCAAAAAACTAAAAGTGGAACTCCCATTTGACCCAGTTATCCCACTTCTAGGAATATATCCCAAGAAACCAGAAACACCAATCAGGAAGGATATATGCACCTCTATGTTCGTAGCAGCACAATTCACCATAGCTAAGATCTGGAAACAGCCTAAGTGCCCATCAGCAGATGAGTGGATTAAAAAACTGTGGTACATCTACACAATGGAATACTACGCTTCAGTAAAAAAGAAGGAACTCTTGCCATTTGCAACAGCATGGATGGAACTGGAGAGCATTATGCTAAGTGAAATAAGCCAGTCAGAGAAAGATAAATACCACATGATCTCACTCATTTGTGGAATATAGAGAACAACATAGACTGATGAACAGGGACAGATCCAAAGACAGTGAAACAGTGATCAGACTATGAATCCCCAGAGGGAAAGTAGGGGAGGATGGGGGTAAGGGGAAGAGATCAACCAAAGGACTTGTATGCATGCATATAAGCCAAACCAATGGACATGGACAACAGGGGGATGAGAGCATGAGTCGGTGGGGGGGAGGGATGTTGGGGGTTAGTGGGGGGAGGAGGACACATTTGTAATACCTTAACTAATAAAGAAATTTAAAAAAAGAATGTAACAAATGCAGACACAGGAGAAAATGAAGTGAGCTTATTGTAAACAAGGCCTTTTCCCACTTAAAAAAGATAATAGTTCATTATTTTGATTATTGTAGAGTGGGAGATGCAGATAAGCCTTTCATGTCTCTGAAATAGAATTTTTCTGACCCATATCTCCCTCATTGCTTGCCCTCAATTCTTTAAAAAGAAAAAAAAAACCCTTCCTACCTTTTCTTCTGGAATAATTGTAATAATAACTGTAATAATAATGTAATGTGATAAACAGTCCAAGTAACTTTAAAAAAAGAATGTACACTGGAGTAAAGATAGTCTATTCAATAAATAGTTTTGGAAAAATTGGACAGATATATGCAAAAAATGAAACTAGACCACTGTCTTACACCATACACAAGAATAAAGTAAAAATGGATTAAAGACTTAAATGTTAGACTCAAAACCATAACAATCCTAGAAGAAACATATGCGTTAAAATCTTGGACTTTTTTGTAGCATTTTTTTTTTCTCATATATCTTCTCAAGCAAGGGAAACAAAATAAAAAAAAATGGAGTATGCCTGGGTTTTGCTCAGTTGGTTGAGTGTCGACCCATGTAGCAAGACATCACTGGTTTGATTCCTGGTGAAGATACGTGCCTGGATTATGGGCTCAATCCCCAGTAGGGGGCATGTAGGAGGCAGCCAACAGATCATCCATGTTTCGATCTCTGTCTCCCTCTTCCTTCCTCTCTCTCTGAAATCAATAATAATAAATAATATAGAAAATAAATGAGCAAAGGACCTTAATAAAACACATCTCTAAAGAGGATATACAGATGTCCAATAGACATAAGAGGAGATGTTCAGCAAACCCAAGGAATCAGCCAAAGTGCAGAGATAAATAAACAAGTTACAAATGAAAGAACAGAAGAAATCTCCAGACAAAGAACTAAGTGAAATGGAAACAAGCAAACTACTACTAGATACAGAGTTCAAAACAATGCTTATAAGGTTGCTCAAGGATCTTAATGAGAGCTTCAAGGGACTTAGTGAGAATTTCAAGGAAATAAGTCAGAACATCAAATACATGAAAAAGTACCAGTCAGAAATGAAGGACATACTAACTGAAATGAAGAATAATTTACAGGGAATCAACAGTAGAATAGTGGATACCAAGAATCAAATCAGTGATTAGGAATATGAAGAAGTAAAAAACACCCAACCAGAAGAGCAAAAAGAAAAAGGAATTAAAAAAAAGTGAGGCTAGTGTAAGGAACTTCTTAGACAACTTCAAGCATACCAACATTTGCAACATGGGGGTGCCAGAAGGAGAAGAGAGAGAGCTAAATATTAAAAATCTATCTGAAGATATAATGACAGAAAACTTCCCCTACCTAGTGAAAGAAATAGACCTACAAGTCCAGGAAGCAGAGTCCCAAACAAGAGGAACCCAAAGAAGCCCACATCAAGACACATCACAATTAAAATGCCAAGGGCTAAAGACAAAGAGAAAATCTTTTTTTTTTTTTTTTTTTTTTTTTAGGTAATCATTAAAATAATGAAATTTTTATTTTTATGTACTGGTGTGAAATAAATGTAAAGCTATATTATTCAGTGACAAAAGCAAAGTATATACAAAGATATACACATAGTATGCTTCCATCTTACCTAATAATAAACAAACATGTAAATTGACCATACCTTCGTTATGCTAACAAGCCAATCAGGAGAGCATGCAAATTAACCTAACAAAGATGGTGGTTAATTTGCATACGTAGGCTCCAAGAGGTGGAGTGAAGCCTGATGGCTCAGGGGCCAGAGCAGCGATGGTCCCGGGGTTGGCAGAGCAGCAAAAGTCTCATGGCCCCAAGGCGGGCTCTGGCTGGAGGCCGGCCAGAGCGAAGGCCTGGGTGCTGGGTGCTGGAGGAAAACCGGCGCCAGAAGCCAGGGTAAAGGAAGGCCTATTACATGAATCTCTTCATGCAACAGGCCTCTAGTGTATTAATAAAAGTTATCTCTGACAAAGAGAAAATCTTAAACACAGCAAGAGAAAAACAGTTAGTTACCTACAGGGAGTGCCCTTACAACCAGCAGCTGATTTCTCAACAAAAATTTTGCAGGTCAGAAGGGAGTGGCAAGAAATATTCAAAGTGATGAATAGCAAAGAACCAAGATTACTGTACCCAGCAAAGCTCTCATTTAGAATTGAAGGACAGATAAAGAGCTTCACAGACAAGAAAAAGCTAAAGGAGTTCATCACCACCAAACCAGTATTACATTAAATGTTGAAGGTATTTTTTAGGAAGAGGGAAAAGAAGATAAAAAATATGAGCCATAAAATGGCAATAAATACATATCTATCAATGATTGAATCTAAAAATCAAAATAGGCCTGGCTAAGTGTCGGCTCACAAACTGAATGGTCCTGGGTTCAATTCCAGTCAAGGGCATATACCTTGGTTGCAAGCTTGATTCCCCGGGCGCCCTGGTCCAGGCATGTGTGGGGGGCAACCAATTGATGTGTCTCTTTCACATAGATGTTTCTATTTCTCTGTCTCTCCGTCTCCCTTCCACTTTCTCCAAAAATCAATGGAAAATTATCCTTAGGTGAGGATTAACAACAACAAAAATAAAAAATAAATGAACAAGCAATGTAATGAACAAAATAAACTAATGAATAAAATAGAACCAGAGGCATGTAAACATGCAATAGATTAATAAATCACAGAGGGAGGATGGGATGGTGGGAAGGAATTAAATAAAGAATTTATCTGCATAAATGCATTACCCATGGACACAAACAATAGGGTGGTGAAGACCTGGGGTGTGGCAGGAACCTGGTGGAGAAGGGCAATGGGAGGGAGGGAAGCCTCTATAATACTCTCAATCATAAAGATTTTGGGGGAAAAACAAAAAATAGAAATGCAAAATAAAACCACAATGAGATATCACCTCACACCTGTCAGCAATATATATATAAGCCTAATATGCAAATTGTTCCTGTGGGAGTTCAACTGGGAGACTGATCGCTTGCTATGACATGCGCTGACCACCAGAGGGTGGCGCAGAATGAAGGAAGGCCCCGGCCGGCAGCCAGAAGTCCCCCATCGGCCCTGATCACCGGCCATGTCTAGGGACCCTACCCATGCATGAATTTTGTGCTCTGGGCCTCTTGTCATCAATAAATCAACAAACAACAAATATTGGTAAGGATGTGGAGAAAAAGGAACTCAAGTGCACTGTTGGTGGGAATGCAGACTGGTATAACCACTGTGGAAAGCATTGTGGAGTTACCTCAAAAAATTAAAAATGGAACTGTCTTATCATCCAGTGATTCCACTTCTGGGAATATATCCAAAGAAACCTGAAACACTAATTCAAAAAATATATACCCACCCCTATGTTCACTGCAGTGTTATGTATAAGAGCCAAGATTTGGAAGCAGCCCAAGTGTCCATCAGTAGATAAATAGTTAAAAAAGCTGTGACCCTGGCTGGTGTGTCTCAGTTGGTTGTGCATGGTCCTATGCTCCAAAGAGACACCAGTTCAATTCCTGCTCAGGGCACATACCCAGGTTTCAGGTTGAATCCCCAGTGGTGTGCCTGCGGGAGATAACTGATCAGTGTTTCTCTTTCATATTGATGTTTCTCTCTTTCTGTCTCCCTCTCCCTCCCAGTCACTTTAAAATCAACACACACACACACACACACACACACACACACACACACACACACAATTTTTTTAAGCGTTGGTACATTAATATAATGGAAAGGAAATCTGACCCTTTGTGATAGCATGGATGGACCTGGAGAGCATAATGCTAAGTGAAATAAGCCAGTCAGAGAAAGACAAGTAGCATATGATTTCATTCATATGGTGGAATCTAATGAAAAAAATAAATAAATAAACTAGCAAGCACAGTAAAAACAGACTCATAGATAGAAGGCAGTCTGAAGCTGTTGAGAAGAGGTTGTGGGGGTAGGTATAGGGGATGGGATTGAGCAAAAAAGAAAAATAAAAGAGAAAAAAAACTCATGGACAAGGACAAGTCTGGTGATTGCCTGGGGCAGGGGTCCTCAAACTATGGCCTGCTGGCCACATGCAAATACAAATATTGTATTTGTTCCCGTTTTGTTTTTTTACTTCAAAATAAGATATGTGCAGTGTGCATAGGAATTTGTTCATAGTTTTTTTTTTAAACTATAGTCTGGCCCTCCAATGGTCTGAGAGACAGTGAACTGGCCCCCTGTTTAAAAAGTTTGAGGACCCCTGGGGGGGAAGGAGTGAGGTGGAAGAAGGTTATAGGGGGAATAAATAGTCATGGAATGAGACTTGATTTGGGGTGCTGAACACAGTATAGTTTAAGCAGATTATGTGTTGTGAAATTTTGCACCTGAATCCTGTATAATTTTGTTAACCAGTGTCACCCCAATAAATTAAATAAAAAAATAAAATATATTATGAAATATGTCATCAATTTTTTATTTCAGTTATTTGATTATTATAAACTAGAGGTCCAGTGCATGGAGTTTGTGGGTGGGTACAGTCCCTAGGCCTAGCCTGTGATCAGGGCCATCTTCCCTGGCTGCTGGCATCCAGCCACGCCCCCTGCTGCCACCCACCCAGGTTCCCAGTTTGCCAACAGGCTATTGGAGCCTGATGGCTGGGGGAGAGGGACCAGAGGTTGGCTGGTCCTGCCTGCTCCTGGCCCACCCCCTGCCACAGGTCACTCTCTGTGAGTGGGGCAACTGGTGGGGCGGGGCCCTGGTCTGGCACAGCCCACGTACCCTGCCACCCATCCTGGCTCCCCGTACACCATCAAGTGATCGGAGCCTGACGGCTAGGAGGAGGGACTGAGAGGTCAACCATTCCAACCGCTCGCTGGACCCGCTACCCACCGCCACCCATTCTGGTTCCCTGTTTGCCATCGGGCAATTAGAGCCTGCCAGCCAGCGGGAGGGAAGAAGAGGTTGGCTGTTCTGCCTGCACACCGGCTCAACTCCCACTATGGGTTGTCCTCTGTGTGTGGGGCGACTTGGCAGGGCAGGGGCCTTGGCCTGGCGCCGCCTGCATCCCCCGCCACCCACCTCCAGGTCCCTGTTCGCCATCTAGGAATTGGAGCCTGCCGACTGGGGAAAGGGACCAAGAGATGGTCAGTGCACCTCATAGTGACTGGTCAAGCAGTAGTTCTGGTCATTCTGCCATTATGGTTGTTAGGCTTTTATTATATAGGTAATAATAGACTACTATTGAAGTTTTTACTCTGTGAAAGAATATGCATATCTATTAACACGTAGAGTTTTTTATGTTCAATGGATGATAGAATGTAGGAGCTAATCATTCCATATTAAAAATTACTTCAAAAATTATAACAATACCCCAGTTTTAGAGTGAGTCTTTAAAATGTGTCCTTCTTTGGAACAGAATCATGTTTTTGTCCACTAAAAACCATAAAAAATTGGTAACTTACTGTCATGTCAGTATGAAAATTTTATTTATAATACCAGATTAGATTATAGAAGAAGTTAAATATAGTGAAAATTCTGAATTTTATTTTGTTGATAATATGTATATTAAGTATTATTTGAACATAATTATAAAGGAGACTAAAATTTTGTTAAATATTTAACTCTTGAATATGCATGATTTGCAAAATAATATTACTTGTTACAAATGAAGTAAATTATAACGATTTAATAAAGTATAATTTTATAAATTAGTAATAATCTATTTTTTATTATAAAAGTGGAAAATAAATTAGACTATAATTCAAAGTAGTTTTGCATAAGAAGTTTCATGTTCAAAGGTAAAATGTCCTATGTCATTTCTCCTGAATACATAATGGACATTCAAAGAAAATGTATAAATCTTTTATAAGCAATAATACAGAAAATAAACTATATAATTTAAAAGTGAAATCACATACCTGGACTATAGGAATCACAGAGTAATTCACATATTGTATAATTATTTTTAAAAAATCACTGATTTTTCTTTTAGACAGTCCCAATGAGTATAGAACTTCAACTTTTTAGACACTCATTAAAACACTAACACAATCTTGCTTTCAGGAATGAACCCAGTATTTGAGGACATGAATTATTTTCAAAAAACATAAAATCCTAGATAAAAACAAAAATACAGAAATGAGTTTTCAGCAGCAAAACAGGTAATCATTTGATGTAGAAATGCTAAATGTTCTGAGGAAAACAGTAATATGTCTGTTAAATAAGAAAATTTAACTGTAATAATTAAATCTGTGAAAAGTCCATAGCTATATAAGCTCTACCATCAACACTTTATTTTATTAGCAATTAAATCCTGTAATTCTACTCATTTGTTGATATCTGCATTAATTTAATGATCTGGTAATTTCAATATATTTCCTTTTTTCTAGTTCCCTAGAAATCTTCCTCTTTCAATTTTTCTTATTCAACTTTTTTAGTCCCTCTCTAGTAACAGAACTTTTTCTATGACTAGAGTTCCATGTAAAATTTTAAAAAAATTGTCATAAGAATGACAGCTTTCTTAAGAGATAGAATGTTTGTGTTAGTTTCATTTGTCTTCCAATTTTTCCACTGTGTTCCCAGCTTATTTTATTTCATTAGTATCAATACAGACCCTAACCTGATGACTTCAGCCAAACCCTGTGGAATTCACAATTCCTAAATCTATCGTTTTCCTTTATACCTTCAACAGAAATAATTTTATCCTTATTGTCAATTACTAGCGATTACACTATTGCAATTTTACCTCTCAAATTCATTTCTCACACAGACACCAAGATTTATATTTGATTTACATTATTACATTATACCTAGCTTAAAATCAACATTTAATGAAACAATTTTAATGAATTACAACTCTATAAAAAGTTGCCTGATCTTTGAAGGCCCTTTAGAGGAAGCCCTTAGTAATTTACTAATAAACCCACCACCACCCCAGTCTTATTTCCCATCAATCCAAACATCTAAGACTCTCTTCCTCAAACACATCATATATTTCATATTACCCAGCTGTTAGTTGAACTGTTTCCACAAGGTTAGATTTGACTTTTTATGTGAAATGAACGCTTATTGGAAAATTTTTTACAAAGAACCTTGGTTATATTAAGATTAATAGAAAATATTAAGCATATCCCAAATTAGGTGGAATACCATAATAAAGTCCCAACAACCCTTTGAATAATCTTTACTGATTAACATGACCAATATTGGTTCAACAATTACTGCACCCCCTATGTCTCCCTGCCCTCACCCCATTATTAAAAAAACAAACCCTGATGTACCATTTTATACTGGTTTACTTCAATATGTGCCCCTCAAATATATGGATGGTGTTTTGCTTTCACACAACCACAATGTCATCACCACAGCTTAAAAAACACCTTAATTTTTAGTGGAGGTTGGAAGGATGAGCGATAAACATGAAAGGGATTGAGTACAAATTGCTAGTTATACAAATGGTCATGGACATGTAGAGTACAGTATAGGTAATATAGACAATAATATTCTAATAAATATATATGGTGCCAGCAGGGTACTAGACTTATTGTGCAAGTCACATCATCCTATCTAATAAAAGACAAAAAGGGTAATTGACCGTACCTTTGCTACACTTCCCATTGGCTAATCATGTAGATATGCAAATTAACCACCAACAAAGATGGCGGTTAATTTGCATATGTAGGCTCCAAGCGGTGGAGCCAAGCCAAACGGCCCCAAAGCCGGCCGAACAGCGAGGCCTCATGGCCCCAGGATCAGAGGAGCAGTGAAGCCTGACAGCTGGATGGGGGCTCTGGCCGGAGCCCAGCTGGAGCAAAGCCCTGGGTCCCGGGTGCCAGAGGAAAACTGGTGCCAGCAACCAAGGGAAGGGAAGGCCTATTGCACAAATCTCTTCGTGCAACAGGCCTCTAGTTAAGTATATAAATGTCTAATAAGTATATTGTACACCTGAAACTAATATAATATTGTATGTCAACTATATTTGAAAAATAAATTTAAAAACTTTTAAAGTTAAAAATAAGAACCAAAAAAATCCAACCTTAATTCATTATCATTAAATCGCCAAGGTTCAAATTTCCCTAAATGCATTGTAAATGTTTTTTAAATTGAGTTATTCAAATCAATATGCAAACATGGTCAACAAATTTTACTAGGTTGAATTTTATTTTTATCTTTTTATTTTCCTGACATTTATTTGTTGAAGGAACTGGATCCTTTTGTTGTAAATTCTCTCATGTTTTATCTTTTTTTCTGAGTGCATCCCCAAATAAATATTTCAGATATTCATTTAGTGGTTCCAAACCATGCTTGAGTGATTAAACCAGCGGTGCCAACCAGTGGTCCGCGAGGTCTGTGAGGTCTGAAAGGTTAACAGCTTAAAGCTTGGTCCCATCTCCAGAGATTTTGATTCACTATTTGGGTGCAGTCTTGATACAGGGAGTTTAAAAAGCTACCCAGGTGTTTCTACTGTGCAGCTAAGTTTGAGAACTGTTGCTCTCTCCCAGGTGTCCTTGATTTTGGCTGCATATTGAATCACCTTCGGAGCAAAACAACAAATGTGTGAGCTTCTGACTTAATAGAATGGGGGTCTGATTTGGTACTTGAGGTTTTTAAATTTTCCCTAAGTCATGGAAGACAAGTGTAGAATCACTGCTTTATCCCATGTGTGTCAACTGGCAGTTCCATCTGATGGCCGGATTGGATGCACTTTTAAGCAGTTTTCACTTAAGTAGTAGAGCATTTAATTTAATAACGAACCAGGATGAAATCTCCCCATTTCAATGGGTTCTACTCCACCTTAGTCCATATCTGAGTGCACCTATTTTGATTTTTAAATAGAAGGCCCAAAGACCAGAGCCTCTTCTATTGCCATGTGAAACTATAAAATTTCCAGAGGAACTAGTCACCTGTGAATCCAGACCATCAGGAGAAAATGGAATTTCAGAGCTAGGATTAAATGGGGCACCCTTTGAATAAAACCTATAAGTTTAAGCAGTTCATTTAAAAAGATACACTTTACTGAATCTTTCAGAGTGATATTAAAAAAATACCCAAGATTACCAAGAATAGACTTACAATGAGGAAACACGCACCAAGCATCACAGCTTTCATTTTCACGTCAAGGTCTAAAGGGAACTGGATGTCAAAGTCACTGTAATCTGTACATGCTTCTCTCACAAAACCAGTCCACTTCTTGGAAATCTTGCCAATCACATTTTCTTCATTAAGAGATTTGATCTAAATTGAAAAAAATGACAGTCTTAAAGAATTCTAGAAAATACTAAATCAACTTTCAAATTTGGAATAAAATGAAACAAGTACTTTATTAAATTTACATGCAATATTTTATATCACTCATTAGATGCATATAAATTCCTGTGCCTACAGATACATGAAAAAAAATTGTTTCTTTGCTATAGAAAACTTATATGAAAGTTGTTTCACTGAAATATGTAACATTTTATATTGTACATTAAGACACAGTACTAAATCCTTTGAAGTGATCTAAAACAAAATTTAAGCAGGAAAAGATACAAACATGAAATGTTTCTTAGATTACATTTCTGGAAGCTATCAGGAGGGTAGCAAACTAAACCCCATGTGACATATGCTTTAAGACAAGCACAGAGTTTACATAGGCTGAGTGATTACCTGTGATGGGAAGAACATTACCACTCAATGTCAGTAGACAAACAAAAAGTGCTAAGGGCCTGGGAAAGGGGAATGGCAGTTTTGAGTGAAGGAAAGTATGTAATAAGTAACTTAAAGGGATGCCACAGGTTCAGGTAAGACTGGACAACATGCAAGTGAGGGAACAACAAAATGGGAAAGGTGTATGAAAAAAAGCTCTGAAGTTATTTTTTTTTTATTAGTGTCACCTGGAAATCTTTTTAAAATCCTGATTTCTGGGCCTCATTCTGGAGGATTCCCAGATGATTCTAATGTGCAGCCAAGGTTGAAAACCACTGTTCTAAATAAATGTGGGGAAACTAAAAACAGTTGACTCATTTCATTCCGGTGTGTGCGCTTAAGTTCTTAAACCTGAAATAAGCTTTTAATATGAAAACTGTGATAGCATGGGTTGCTGTTCATAAATATTCATCCACCCCTCCCACTGTAGGCCCAGTATTCTTCTCTGAACATTGATACTTAGGGTTGGCCATGTGACTTGTTTGACCAATGGAATGTTAGTGTATATGACAGTGAGCAGAGACCTTAAACATGGCTAAGCGGTTTGGCCTGGCTCTTGCTCTCCAGTGATCAGCCACCATAAAATCATGTAGTTCTTGCTAGAGCTCTAGAATCAGCATACTTGGAGCAGGCCCAAGGCCAACTTCAAGCCTAAATCAGTGCCATCTAGCTGAGCCTATGTGTATCCAGTGAGACACAATTAACCTGCAGACTCACAAGCATGATAGCAAATGCCTATTGTTTTAAGCCATTGATCTTTAGGGGTTTTATGTTATACAACACTGTTCTGGGAAAACAGACTAAATCTTGTGCACCCTTTAGTGTTTTATCTGCTAATAGCTGTAATCTAAATATTTGTAGCTTGTAAAGTAATCTTATTTTGTTTTTTAAGTTTATTTTTAATTTTGAAAGTGAACAATACAGAGGATAACTTATGAGACACAATAATGCTGCACTAGATTTAACAGATATTAATATTTCCCTTTTTTATTCTATAGCAAGAAATTTCAAACTTTACCAATAATCATGCAAAAAAGTAAAAAAAACAGAGGGTTTTTTTGATGGGAAGAATAAGAAATATGAATAGTGACAACTGAAAAGATATCAGGACTAGGTAATCTTAAACTAAGTTCTAGTTAACCTTTTAAAAACAGAAAATCCATATAATAAAGTTATTTCCACCTTGAAATAGTAAATTCATATTTGTGTCACAATAAGAAATATATTTTTATTTTTATTTTTTTAAAAATATATTTTATTGATTTTTTTACAGAGAGGAAGGGAAAGGGATAGAGAGTTAGAAACATTGATGAGAGAGAAACATTGACCAGCTGCCTCCTGCACACTCCCCACTGGGGATATGCCCGCAACCAAGGTACATGCCCTTGACCGGAATCAAACCTGGGACCCTTCAGTCCGCAGGCCGATGCTCTATCCACTGAGCAAAACTGGTTAGGGCAAGAAATATATTTTTAGTTTTTATTTTTGGTTCCTGAGATAAAGCTCTAAAACACTTATAACTTTTTGAGATAAGAATTATAGGAGAGCCTTTTGTTATATTTGGTCTTTCTCAGTTTCCTGGCACACAGATCCTAAAACTTGTGGATTCTCTGAGAATCTTTTGAGGGTAATGAAATGACTGGTGGCTACAGGCCCTTGATAGCTTCAGGATGGGGGCTGGTCACCAGATAGTCCAAGCAATGATTAGAGACTTGACACTTTGACCCCTTCCTTGACCAGTGAGGAGGAGACAGGGGCTTAGAGATTGACCTAATCAACAATGACCAATGATCTAATTATTCATGCCTATGTAATGAAACCTATATAAAAGCTCTAGATGATAGGGTTTGGAAATCTTCCATATTGGTGAATGTATCTATGTTCTGGAAGGGTGGTGCACCCCAACGCCATGGGACATAAGCTCCTGAACTCAGGACGTTTCCAGACCTCACCCTATATATTTCTCCATCTTGCTGTTCATCTGCATACTTATAATATCCTTTATAAAAACCTGTAAACATGAGTGAAGTATAGTTTTGAGCTCTGCCATCTATTCTAGCAAATTATTGAATCTGATATGGGGGTCACAGGAACTCTAGACTTATAGCTAAGTCAGAAGTGCACAATGTCTAGGACTTGTGATTAGCAACTGGAAAGGGGGGCAATCAGTGGGACCAAGCCTGTAACCTGTGGGGTCTGCATCAACTCCGAGTAGTATTAGTGTCAAAATTGAATTGAGTTGTAGGACATCCATTTTATGTCCAGGAAGTTGGAAAATTGTTAGGTATGGGAACTAGGGCCACCATACATTTTGTATCAGTAGTGTGGATACCATTATGGTATATTATATTTGAATTAAATGTATAAATACATAAACTTAATACCAATAATCCTATCTAATAATAGACAAATATGGTAATTAATCATACCTCAAACACACTTCCCATTGGCTAATCAAGGCGATATGCAAATTAACTGCCAGCCAAGAAAGGAGGCCAGCAGCCAGGCAGCTTGAAGCGAACATGAGGCTTGCTTGCTTCAATGACGGAGGACCCCAACGTTCCCTGCCTGCCGGCCTCTGAGCTGCACTCTAAGAAACACTGTTGCAATTATAGAAGCTAAACAAACCCCAGAAACCTGCTTTCAGCCAGCCAGGCCTCAGAGCTGGAGCTGCAACAGTGTTTCAATTATAGAAGTCAAACAAACCCAGATACCTGCTTTCAGCAGCCGAGGTCTCAGAGCTGGAGCCGAGCCTCAGAGCTAAAGCTGGCTCTCAGCTCCAGTGACAGCCATAGAAGGTAAATAAATCCCAGAATAAAAGAAAAAAAGAAAAAAAGGAGAGGTTGGTTGCTTCAGTCACCCGCCAGCATGAAAACGGCCCTCAGCCCCTCACTCAGACTGGGCAGGCACCCCAATGGGGACCCCCACACTGAAGGGAGTGTGACCAGCTGCAAGTAGCCATCATCCCCTCATCCAGGCTGGCCAGGCACCCAAGCAGGACCCCCACCCTGATCCGGGACATCCTTCAGGGCAAACCAGCTGCTCCCACCTGTACACCAGGCCTCTATCCTATATAGTAAAAGGGTAATATGCAAACTGACCCTAACAGCAGAAAGACTGGGAATGACTGGTCACTATGACACACACTGACAACCAGGGGGCAGACGCTCAATGCATGAGCTGCCCTCTGGTGGTCAGTGCGCTCTCACAGAGGGAAGCTCTGCTCAGCCACAAGCCAGGCTGATGGCTGCCAGTATAGCGGTGATGGTGGGAGCCTCTTCTGCCTCCTCAGCAGCGCTAAGGGTGTCTGACTGCAGCTTAGGTCTGCTCCCTGCTGGCAAGTGGGCATCCCCCGAGGGCTGCTGGGCTGCCAGAGGGATGTCTGATTTCCATTTTAGGCCCAATCCCCCAGGGAGCAGGCCTAAGCCAGCAAGTGGTCACCCCCGAGGGATCCCAAACTGTGAAAGGGCATAGGCCGGGCTGAGGGACCCCCTACCCCCGAGAGCACAAATTTTTGTGCACCAGCCTTTAGTCCTATATAATAAAAGCCTAATATGCAAACCGACTGAAGGGCAGAATGACTAGGGGAATGACTGGTTGCTATGACACACACTTACCACCAGGGGGCAGATGCTTAACGCAGGAGTTGCCCCCAGCCTGCAAGGCCCCAGGCCAGCCAAGGTGGGTGCCAGCAGGGCCCCTCCACCCGGTTGCCCTGCTGGTCACTCCACAGATCGGCCCTGATCGCCAGCCAGACCTACAGACCTTACCCATTCACGAATTTCATGCACCGGGCCTCTAGTTTAACAATATTGTTAAAAATATTCTTTTTATTTATTGTCTAAAGTTTTACTAGTACATATTCTCCATTTTCCCTGATTGACCTCCTCAATGTTAAAGATATTTTTAAAAGAATAGTGTAGATTCACCTATAATGTAAATACAATGCAACCCCCCAAAACAAACCCAAATATGACACTAGCACATATACCTAGATTAGCATCAAAACAATATACTGTATAAAGTATAAAATACTAGAAAATTGATGCAATTCAAAACAAATGCTCATATCACTGGCTGCTGAAAAGATATTTTATTATTTACTAATTAAGGATTTATATAACATTTAGCATATGCATGACATACAAAGACTTTATGATTGACAGGTAATTTAATGCTCAAAATAATCTTGCAAAGTATTTATTATTATTAGTTGAAAATTTCACAAAACAATTGAAAAAGAAAGGTTAAGTACTTTATCCAACATTACACAGATAAGAAATTGTGGAGATGGGTTTCAAACCCAGGCATTCTATCTTCAAAGTCTGAACTCTTGACCACTATAATATTCTTCCTTTTAAAAAGTTAAGTTTCAATTCCTAATAAAAATCTCAGTTGGGAGTCAGCAAATAATGGTCAGTGGGACAAATCTTCTTTCCTTGTGTTTTTAAATAAAGTTTTATTAGCAGACAAATATGTCCATTCATTCATATATTGTCTATGACTGCTTTCATGCTACAATGGTAGAACTGAGTAGCTGTGGCAAT